AAATATAAATGTTTATGTATAACGTTAACAGCACAGCATAAAAACGCGGAAAAAATTACGGTTTTCAAGAGTTCACACTTCTATTGAGTGAAGTTGATGATGACAAAGAGCATCTGTGCTTCTCGCTTTTGCCTTCTGTGCCTCGAGAGAGGTGAAGTTTAGATCAGTTAAAGTCACAGAGTGGAATTCAGCAATCTAGAATTTAGCTAAATAATTGCATATTAATACTTCTGTGCCTTGCTATTTGATTGATATCAGTTATTTTCACTTAAGTTGCAAATTTCTAGTAAAAAGCAATGAAACTTACTAATCTGAAAATCTAGGATCCTTCATAGCACAGATTGTAATGTTCTACAACCACAGTCAGTTAAGTGCTTTTCACGCGGCTGGTGGAAGACAAGAAAGTTGTAAGTTCGATCCAACGACTTTAACTACTGACGGTTAAGGTGTATGTGAATCCATTTGGTCTGAAAACTTTCTAGTTGGTGAGGGGGGAAATTAGAGAAAGGGATAAATAGCTCATCAGGTATCATAACCGTGTTACCAGCGTCAAAAAGTTTGGCGTTCCTACCATGGATATTAGATAGGATGTAAGAAAGATCTATGTGCTCCCCTCTGCAGAGGATCAAATTGTGATGGCATTTCTTCGGATCATCATCAGGGATGTTTTCCAGACCGACATGTTTTCCAGACCCACTGAGCATTTCTAGTGCTACTTAAATGAACTACAACAACAACAAGATCTATGATGTGTTAATCTGATTAGAGTCATGAAAGTTTGAAGGTTCGATTATTATCAGAATTTGAGTCATGTATTTTGCTCATCGGTTTTTTTTTTCGCTATTCTTCTTCTATTTGTGGTCCCGCAGTGAACTGATCGTTAAGACACGGTTCCCAGCAGATCACCGAAGTCAAGCATCACTGGCTGCGGTCAATGTGCGGGTGGGTGACCACTTGGATCTGTCTACGTAGGGACCGAGGGTGTGAGGTATTGGTCCTCGTTAAACTGTGCTACCGTAAAGTGCTCGACTTCGTGCGCAGGTCGTCGGGCTACCGAATCGGGGGTGCCATCCCCTCCGCAGAGGATCAAAATTGTGATGTCTTCGGATTATCCTCAGGGATGTTTCCCAGACAGTAGCCAATAGCCCAGTGTGCAACTCTAGTGAACTACAACAACAACAGGTCGTAGGAGAGAGGAGAAATAAGAGGCCCCATTCCACTTTTAAAAGCGTGCATAAAATTTAAAACGAAAGACTGTTGTGGTGCAGAGTAATGGGATAAAGCGATAAAGCCTAGAAGTGTAGCAATGGAGCATTGCTATTTTTAGCTATTTTGTCTGGAGTTTATCTTCTATATTATGTCTCTCAATCGAAGTTTAATTCACAACGTAGGATTGTTGTTGTTGTTTTTCATTTACGTCACACTGGAGCTGCACAATGGGCCATTGGCGACGGTCTGGGAAACATCCCTGAAGATGATCCGAAGACATGCCATCGCAATTTTGATCCTCTGCAGAGGGGATGGCACCCCCGCTTCAGTAGCCCGACGACCTGCACGCGAAGTCGAGCACTTTACGGTAGAACAGTTTAACGAGGACCCATACCGCACACCCTCGGTCCCCACGCAGGCTGATCCAAGTGGTCACCCACCCTCACACTGACCGTAGCCAGTGATGCTTGACTTCGGTGATCTGCTGGAACCGTGTCCTTACGATCAGTTTACTGCGGGACCATAACGTAGGAACAGGGTTGATAGTCAAACAAGATGACAATTTCGTATCCACATCAGAGATTACAAGAGCTTGATTGTAAAACTACAGTTAGATTTTGAAATCCATGTGACTGATAGACTAAAAACCCTGAATCGGTTACATCATTAATTCTGTTGTTGTTGCTGATTTACGTCGCACTAGAGCTGCACAATGGGCTATTAGCGACGGTCTGGGAAACATCCCTGAGGATGATCCGAAGACATGCCATCACAATTTTGATCCTCTGCAGAGGGGATGGCACCCCCGCTTCGGTAGCCCAACGACCTGCACGCGAAACATCATTAATTCTATCAAACCTCTAAGACAATGTTTCCTTTTTTATCTATGTTACCTTTTCTTACAAGACTCAGGCCCGGAAATCCTTGAAAAGTTTCACAGCTTCCAATACAATAAATGCAAGGGCTTATCTATTATATAACTAGATTATCACAGCTGAAAGGGCAGGGCATATTCCTTCAACTAAATATTCTTATTCATAGAGATGGTGGGTTCAATTCCCGTCATAACCCTGAATGCATATTCCAATACCATCTTGAGCTGACCTTTCGTAATATGGGTTACCTCTCATTTAATTTAAAAGGTTTTATAAATTGCTTTTTGAATTAAAACAGACAAACCTGCGTTTTTATGCGTGTAGTGTTTCGCACAGATTTTTTGAAAAAAAACGGCCAAAAAAATCAGTTTTTTTTATGTAAAAAACACACTTTTGAACAAGGTTTCCGTTCGCTGCAGCTTTTGATTAAACTTTTCCTTTGGTGGACAATTTTGATATACTGAGTTTTTGTTCCATGGAAAAAGGATATATTTTATTCTTGAATAAATAAGTGTTATAGCTTATACAATCCTATGTAAATGATAAATATCAATAAAACGATTTTTTCTTCTTAGCTTTCACATTGTTATTTTCAACTCTCGATTATATTAGAGTGTGAAAAATTATAGCAGCATAAAATGCAGCGCCGCTCGAACTATCTCGAGTATGCACAGTTTGACTTCTTTAGCGTGCTCGAATTAACTCGAGCTCACAAGTTAAGGGGTTAATAAATTATCAAAACAAGGATTCATTCTCATTATTTTTAACAAAATTCTCTAAATCGCAACAGTATTAATCGCAATTTTCTGTATATTATTTGATGTATCTACTTCTCTTTGAAATTTATTTCCTATAGTTAGTGCTACCTATTTTTCAGCTTAAAGTATATTTTTTCAATTTTTGTATTAAGTGGGAGGGATATTTTACTGTGAATAACTTTTGTTCAAATGATCTAATTTTCTGAAAATAAAAGCCAATATTAATCTTCAAATATATTAGTTTGTGCTAATCATTAAGCTTCAGAATCAGCCAAAAAGATGTACTTTTTCTGAATTAAAAACCTTTTATAAATCGAATTTTTTAACATAAAATATAAAGAAGCGTAGCTGGAATCAGAAAAGTATGGTATCAGTAGTTTAGTCTGAGTAGTGGTAAAAAATTTAGTCCCAGAGATGTTGAATTTGCTATTTGCGTATTTCTCTTAATATTGTTTTTTAAGCAAATTGAAAACTTTTTGTGCACGATTATAAAATCCATATGCAAGTCAGTTATTTAGTAGTTAAATATGATAATAGGGAGAAATCTGAAAATTATCTTAAAGGTTTTGGTTTCGTTCCAATATTGATTCCCTAGGTTTAAATAATCCCTCCGAGTGATACAAATTCTCCATATTGCATTTTCTGACGAAGAGAGGGATCGAAATTGGGAAAAACTTAATTCTTACTATATGATCAAAAGAGCCGTTGCATTCAGATCGAACAGATCGAAAAACACTGAAATCAAATTGATAGCTCTAATAACTTCGACGTTATAAGAAATTTAATATTTGAAAGATCAATTTTTGATTCATACCGATTAACGCGTGTTAAACCCTTTTCTTAACAAGTGAGGTATTAACTACTACGCTACCCTAATTCAGCTAAATCAAAACAAGACCTTAAAAGTTTAAAAGTTAAAGTTTTTATCCATAAACAAATAAATTTATAATTACTTTCGTAATTATAAATTTCGTACTAAGATAAATACAGGGACAAATGGATGCTAATATTGATTTTAATGCTAAATTAAATTAGATCAACACAAAGTAGATACAATAAACAGTTGAAGTTAGAATTAGTAAAGTTACTTCGATCAAGTATAATTTTAATTTTCCATTTATTTATGCACCTGACATTGCAATATAAACAAGTGAAGGCACATTTCCAATAAAGTTTTACACTAAAGCTAATAAAATAATATTTAAAGTATAGAGTGAATTTTTTTGTAGTTCCATGTGCAAATCAAAATAAGAAAAAAAATTATTTTAAAGCATGAAATTTCTGCAGCTTCTAAACTAGCATTTCATTTCATTCAATTCAAAATATGACAATAGCTATGCTACTACTGTAATTAAGGTAATTAACATCCTCGTAAAACTCAAATTGAAACCTGAATATTACTAAGTCAATTTCATGCAGAACTTTACATTGAAAAAGCAGTCCCATCAAATTTCATGCATATTTAGTATACAGTAGCGTTGAATTTTTAGAAAGCTTCTAAACTTTAAATAAGACTTAGATTAAAAAAAGGAAGACTAAAATTTTATATTCAATGATAGAATTTCCTCCTCAGTGAATAAAACATTTCAAACTTTTTTTTTGCTAGCTGTTGCACATTTTCTAATAGACTTGAAACTATATTAAAAATTGCAATTATAAAACGAATTTTTGTATCCACATTTGTTTATATCACAATATGCTTTAAAAAGTAATCTAAATTTTATACTGAGACTCAACCTGAAAACTTTTATGCACTTTCAAATATCTTACAAGTAAAAATTAAATAATTCCAAGCGTCATAAATCAAATGTACTCATTTCAGAAATATTTTATATGGTGAAATATTTTCTTAAAAGCTTTCATTTGCACTAAGAATAAATTTGGCATATGTTTAACATTCTATAGATAAAAATCATATTAAGATTCCTTCCTAAATACTTCAGAATATTCAACTTTAAATTATGAAGATTGTTCTAAAATACAACTCATGTGTAAAAATTTAACACTTTATATAAACAATGTATTACCTTAAATACCGTGACACTTAATTCAAGGATTGCATAAAAAATATTAGGAAAAATCTAAATTAACAAATTTAAGAAAAAACTAAACATGTTTAATGTATGTAAAAATCTTAGAATACATCAGAGGAAAAAACTATTGTTAATATGTATTTATTTGTCAAAATTTTCAAAATACAAGAAAGCATGAAATATAACAAACAATTAGTAAGCAATTGCTCGCATTTAAAAAATATAGTTTAAACACAAAATTTTTAAATTTTCGTTATAAAATCAGAAATAATTTTTAAAATACGTATAAGTTTTTACAATTATAATACAATAACAAAAATGCTCCTTAAAGATAAAACTAAAGAATAAAGCAATTTTAAAAAGATTATACTTAAAAAGCCATATATTAAAAGCTCTTACGAAGTTATCAAACTATTTTCAAGCAGAAAATATACGAAACGTGCCTCAAATAGATCCTTCAGTAGTTTTAACTTTCATTTTCTTGATTCACTTATTCCTTGCTTTCCTCATCAGAAGATGATGCAATTTCAATTCCCGCCTTCCGAAACAATTCCAATTGTTCCGGAGTTAATTCTACATACTTTTCTTTCACCAACTTATCAGTTTCAGCTGCATCTGTTGAAACTTTGGCTGACTGGGTGGTATTAATTTTGAAAAATTGCTGAAAAGCTTCACTGAGTGCATGGCTAATAACTTGAATTTTACTTTCGTCCTTTCCCTTTGCCAGTGATTCGCCCTCAGTAGCATGAATCTGTGACTTCGAACATTCAGCGGATCTTAAAGTAAATTCATTGTCCTGCATAACTTCATCCGTTTTTCTTTTATCTCTACCGTTTTCTTGCTCACTTTGCGGTGCATCCAGCGTAGCTTCACACAGTTCTCTTCTGAGCCTATCGATTTCTTTCTCTTTTTGATGTAAAGTTTGTTTCAGTTCACGTAATTCTCTTCTAAGCCCATCTTTTTCTTGCTCATTTTGATGTAAAGTCTTCCTAGCTTCGTGCAATTCTCTTTTAAGCCTATCTTTTTCTGGATCATTTTGATTTAAATCCTGCAAAGCTTCAACCATTTCTCTTCTTAGCCTATCTTTTTCTGGATCATTTTGATTTAAATCCTGCTTAGCTTCAACCATTTCTCTTCTAAGCCTATCTTTTTCTTGCTCATTTTGATGTAAAGTCTGCCTAGCTTCATGTAATTCTCTTCTAAGCTCATCTTTTTCTTGCTCATTTTGATGTAAAGTCTGCCTAGCTTCATGTAATTCTCTTTTAAGCCTATCTTTTTCTGGATCATTTTGATTTAAATCCTGCATAGCTTCAACCATTTCTCTTCTAACCCTTTCGTTTTCTATTTCACATTGAAGACTTTCCTGCATAGCTTCCATTTCTTTCTGCAATCTTTCATTTTCTTTTTCCTGATCATGCTGAAAAAATATTGTCTGCACCATTTCTTTATGCGGAGATAATTGTTCTTGTTTATCTTCATCTTTCTTGCCCCTTTCACTTTCTTGAACATGTTCAGAAAATATTACTTGTTCGTTTCCTCTGTCGCTATCTATGCCAATTCTATAAGAAGTTAAATCACTTTCTTCAATAAATTCATGCATTTTAGGAACACTCAAGTGAGAAACAGATTGCCTGCCAGCCTCGTACTTAGACATGAACTCCCAATCATCAGATATGTCAGACTCATTTTCTTCCATTTTGATTTCAGTCGAATCGAATTTCTCCGTCTTTGTTTTATTTTCCATTTTTTTTTTCAAATTATTGTTAATAGCAAGAAATATATAAAGCTTTTATTGGTACAAAGCCAGAAGCTAAATTTAAAAACACAAAAATTGCTAACAACCAATCTATTAATTGGAAAACAAACAAATAAATGTTGTAAAGGTTTCAGCGTATTTGGTTTATATCAGTGATTGTAACCCTAGTTGCCAATTTCTAATCAGAAAATATGAATATTACTAAATTGCATACGTAGGATCTTCCATATCCAAAAGTCCCGCAGTGGACTGATCGTTAAGACACGGTTCCCAGCAGATCACCGAAGTCAAGCATCACTGGCTGCGGTCAGTGTGCGGGTGGGTGACCACTTGGATTAGTGTGCGTAGGGACCGAGGGTGTGCGGTATTGGTCCTTGTTAAACTGTTTTACCGTAAAGTGCTCGACTTCGCGTGCAGGTCGGCGGGCTACCGAAGCGGGGGTGCCATCCCCTCTGCAGAGGTTCAAAATTGTGATGGCATGTCTTCGGATGATCCTCAGGGATGTTTCCCAGACCGTCGCCAATAGCCCATTGTGTAGCTCTAGTGCGACGCAAATGAACAACAACAACATCCATATCCAAAATGATATTGCTCTCCTACTGCAGTCGGTTAGGGCGTCAATGCCACCACTGGTGAAGTGATGTGGGCTTTTGAATTTCGGCCGAATAAGTTGTGCGAACAACTAGTGCGCAAGGTTCACGCGAATCCTTCTCTGAAAGTCTTGACTGAATGTGAAAGTTTGCATGAAGGGTTAATAGCTCACCCTTTATTAGGTTTGTTTTTTCAAGTTCAAAAGTTTTGGCCTTCTCACCATGACTGTTAGATAGATTACTAAAAACAGGTATAAGTACTTGACCGTGATAAGGTAGAGGGATGACCTGTTCTGAACAGGAAATTATTATGTTTTGATCGCTGTAATAATATGTGTTTGAAATTATTTTCATAGCGAACATTTTTTTCCCTTATTCTATCATTATATTATTACATCATTTGTAATTTATGCTATCTATTCCTTACCGAATGCTTACGCTTACAAATCGTTCGAATCAGTTTAATCACTTTTGCAGTTTTAAACTTTTACAGTTTTATATGTGAAAAATACAGAATAGCGAGCAGTGTATATGGGTTGTGCGAGCAGTGTAAATGGGACTAAGGTCCTGAACGGCTACAAAAACAGATGTCTAGCTTTTATACCAAGCCCCTGAGTAACCTAGACACATAAAACAAAGTAGCATCTAAACAATTAAAACAAGACTAATTTAATTATCAGGTTGCGTCTGCATGCATGCGGTGAAGTGAGTTTGTGACATAAGACTATTAGAGAGACAATGAAAATTATGATTTCTTATAATTGTAAAACCATAATTAGACTTTGATATTCATGTGGCTGAGTTTCTAAGATCTCAAAGTCTCTGAGAAACCTCAGAGTTTAGAAACTAATAACATACAAGCGCTTAATTATAGTAGAGAAAAGTAATCAAAATTTAAAGCCTTTGTGACTAAAGGATTTTACTTTTACTAAATATTTTGAGACATAGAGGTATAGGGTTCAATTCCCATAGTAACTTGGGGTTACAAATTACGAACTTGCCTTCTTAAGAGGCTTTTTCGTAAATTAAGCTAACTGCCGTTTAATTTGTCCATGTTTTTTAAGATGCTCTTCATTTTAATAATTTGAACTCGAATTTTTATTAAATATATTTTCCATACTTTTTTTATTATTTTGCATTAATTTAGATCAAAATAAGTGAAAAATATTATATTCAACATTTTAATTTATGACTGTAAAATGCAGAGTGAAAGAAAGATACTAGAGAAACTCTAGTGTTTTCTTCGTAAAAAGTAAAATCTTCAAAACAAGGCAGAGTTCCAGTAAATAATTTTTTCTTAAGTTTGAACTTTAAAAAAAATTATTGCATGCTGCATTTATTTTGATCTAAGAGAAACAGTTATTTATCATTTAAATTTCGTTGATTTAAAAAATCAAATATTGATAAAATTTTTAATATGAAAAAATATTAAGTCTACTATTTTTGGGTTTTATGTTTTCATGCAAATGCAATTCCAATAATCTGACAGTTTTTTTTAATAATTACAAAACTTTATTTATAATTAAAAAATAGTTTAATATACTGGGGCCGGGATAACCTGGTTGGCAGAGGGCTGGAATCACATTCGTGAAGACGAGAGCTCAAATAAGATCATTTTTACATGTAAAATAGTTTTTAATTTCTTATTTGCTTTTATTTACCTGTAATGTTTATTACTAATGCATTCTTATTCTTTATATTTTCTTTTATTAATACGTTCTCATTTTGAATGTTACTCAAATAATCCTTATACCTAATTATTTTTCATTTTAGGTTTATAACAACCAGAGAAATGTGGATATTTTTTTAAAATTTTAATTACCTTACCACGTACTTTGTTAGCAAATAAGACAGATTCAGATACAAAATCGATTTAGACATTTCGCTTTTTATATAATGCAGTTAAGGAGTAGGATTCCAGATTTTATTGAAAAGGACTTTTATTTAGTTCCTTGGCCAAAGTCAGAAAAAAATTTAAAAAGTGGTCATTATTTTATAATTGTAAAAGTGGGGATTATTGTATGTAATGTTCTTATGAAGTTATCATACATTTTATAGGATTTAGTTTTAAGTTAATTTTAGGAATTCCGGTGGTTAATTCGTAATATAAATATTTAATTTACTAATATTTTCGGTCGAAACCAATTCGTCAAAACATTTCGTTTTTTCCATGTTTTTTTTACAAGTTTTTAAATTTTTCTGGAAAATGGCTACCCTGTTCAATTGTCACATTGTATGGCTACCCTGTTCTATACATTTTTTTCCGTTTTTGTCATACATCCTAATTTGAAAAATACTATTGTATAAAAATGATTTTCAAAGGAAACAATTTAAATAATTAAAATGAATGATTTATATAAATAATTTAAATAAATTTAAATAGTTCAAAAAAGCTGAGCTCTTGCGACTCGTATATTCTGTTATGGAAACATGGAGTAGTATTTAACAAACACCTGACTGGACTGGCTGGATTCGAGCTCTCGTTTTCACGAGCGTGATTCCAGCACCCTGCCAACCAGGTTATCCCTGCCCCCAAATGTTAAAATATTTTTTTAATTACATATAAAGCTTTATGATTATTAAAAAAACTGTCTGTATTGGAATTACATTTGCATTAAAACATAAAACCCTAAAATAGTAGACTTAATTTTTTTTGCTTTATTCATATTAAAAATTTCATCAATATTTGATTTTGTAAATCAAAGAAATTTAAATGATAAATAACTGTTTCTCTTATATCAAAATAAATGCAACAGGCAATATTTTGTTTTAATTTCAAACTTAAAAAAAAATTTCTTGAAACTCTACCTTGTTTTGAAGATTTTACTTTTTATGAAGAAAAAGACACTGGAGTTTCTTTAGTATCTTTCTCTCACTCTGTATTTCACAGTTATAGATTAAAATGTTAAAGATAATATTTTTCACTTATTTTGAATCTAAATTAATGCAAAATAATAAAAAAAAAGTATGGAAAATATATTTAATAAAAATTTGAGTTCAAAGTATTAAAATGAAGAGCATCTTATGAAACCTGGACCAATTAAACGGCAGTTAGCTCAAATTACGAAAAAGCCTCTTAAGAAGGCAAGTTCGTAATTTGTAACCCCAGGTTACTTTGAGAATCGAACCCTATACCTCTATGTTTCAAAATATTTAGTAAAAATAAAATCCCTTAGTTACAAAGGCTTTTAAGTTTGATTTCTTTTCCCTAGTATTATTAAACGCTTGTATATTACTTTCTAAACTCTGAGGTTTCTCAGAGACTTTAAGATCTTAGAAACTCAGCCACATGAATATCAAAGTCTAATTATGGTTTTACAATTATAAGAAATCATAATTTTCATTGTCTCTCTAATAGTCTTATGTCACAAACTCACTTCACCGCATGCATGCAGACGCAACCTGATAATTAAATTAGTCTTGTTTTAATTGTTTAGATGCTACTTTGTTTTATGTGTCTAGGTTACTCAGGGGCTTGGTATAAAAGCTAGACATCTGTTTTTGTAGCCGTTCAGGACCTTAGTCCCATTTACACTGCTCGCACAACCCATATACACTGCTCGCTATTCTGTATTTTTCACATATAAAACTGTAAAAGTTTAAAACTGCAAAAGTGATTAAACTGATTCGAACGATTTGTAAGCGTAAGCATTCGGTAAGGAATGGATAGCATACAAACTGATGTTATAAGAAAATGATAGAAAAAGGGAAAAAATGTTCGCCATGAAAATACTTTCAAACACATATTATTACAGCGATCAAAACATAATAACTTCCTGTTCAGAACAGGTCGTCACTCTACCTTATCATGGTCAAGTATTTATCCCTGTTTTTAGGAATCTATCTAACTGCCATGGTGGGAAGGCTAAAACTTTTGAACTTGAAAAAACATTGATTTGACTGATTGATTTGTTCATTTACGTCACACTAGAGCTGCACAATGGGCTATTGGAGACGATCTGGGAAACATCCCTGAGGATAATCCGAAGACATGCCATCACAATTTTGATCCTCCGCAGAGGGGATGGCACCCCCGCTTCGGTAGCCCGACGACCTGCTCGCGAAGTCGAGCACTTTACGGTAGAACAGTTTAACGAAGACCAATACCACACATCCTCGGTCCCTACCCAGATTGATCCAAGTGGTCACCCACCCGCACACTGACCGCAGCCAGTGATGCTTGACTTCGGTGATTTGCTGGGAACCATGTCTTAACGATCAGTCCACTGCGGGACCTTGAAAAACAAACCTAATAAAGGGTAAGCTATTACCCCTCTCTCCAAAGGGGCCTCCCTGACGGAGCGGTATCAAACGCCAAACGCTCTGTTAAGCGTGGAGGTAGCGGGTTCGAATCTAGCCGTAACCCTGGATGTATTCTTTGTGATTTCCTTCTCTGTATTGTGCTATCTGTCCTCCTACTTAACTAAGGTTTATAAGCCTTACTTGAGCACACAAGCCTGCAAATGCATGTTGTATCAATAAACCAATAATAAAAAAACAATGTCAGTTAAAAAATAAGGTCTTTAAAATACAGCTTAGTGCTTAGCCATGATTAAATTGATACAATGATTTTATACGAATTATAGAAGTAGCAGATTTGATTGCTATCGTAATTAGCATCATGTATTGTTTTCATTGGATATTTTTTCGATTGCGTTATTTTTCTATTGTCTGCCTCGTATTTAGACATGAACTCCCAATAATCAGATATGACACAGTCAATCTCTTCGATTTTGATTTCAGTTGAATCGAATTCCTCCATCTTGATTTTTATCATGCATCTTTTTTTCTTGTTAATCGTGAGAAATATATAGAATTTGTTCAGCAAAAAGTCAAAGACTCTATTTAAACTCGTAAAAGTAGCCAGCATCCAATCTGTCACATGTAAAGTGGGAAAAAAAGATTATAAAGAGAGCTCACAGTCGTTCTCTAGCGTATTTTATCGATATTAGTCACATATACATTAATTCTAATTTATAATCAACAAAGCATAAAAGATTTTTAAATGCGTAAAGTAAGAATTACCTGTGACTCAGGTTCTATTATTCGACAATCACAGTTAGCGAAAAAGTACCTCTCTTCTATGTTGAAGGATTCGGGGTTGCGAGTTTGATTCGCCATCCAAACAAAAAACCGTAAGGTGCTCATGATTCGATACAAATTCGCTAAGAATATTCCCGTAAGTGAGGTGTGAAAATCAAGAGAGGGGGATTGTAACTGACCTCTTATCAGCATCATGTAACCATAGTAAAAATATTTTGCATTCCTACAATGTCAGTGGGGCCTCCCTCGACGAGCGGTATCGCTCGCCAACCGCTCTGTTAAGCGTGGAGGTGGCGGGTTCGAATCCCACCATAACCCTGAATGTATTCTTTGGGAAGTCCTTCTCTGTAGTGTGCTATCTGTCATTCTACTTGACAAGGGTTTACGAACCTTAAATGAGCACACAAGCCTGCAGATGCATGTTATATCAATAAAACCAGTAAAAACCTCCCTCCAAACTTTCGCATCACTCTAAAAAGACTAGACTTTCAGACAAGGATTCACGTGAACCGTGCACACTAGTTGCACAGCACAACTTATTCGGTGGATATTCAAAAGCCCACAGCCTTTCACCAGTGGTCGCATTGATACCGAAACCTACTGCAGTAGGAGAACAATATCATTTTGGCTACGGAAGATCCTACGTATGCAATTTAGTAATATTCATATTTTTTTATCAGGAATTGGCAACTAGGGTTATAATCACTAATATAAATCAAGTGTGCTTAAGCCTTCCCAACATTTATTTTTTTGCTTTCCAATTAATCGATTGGTTGTTAGCAACTTCTGTGTTTTTAACTTAAACGTTTTACCAATGAAAGCTTTATATATTTCTTGCTATTAACAATAATTTTAAAAAAATGGAAAATAAAATCAAGACGGAGGAGTTCGTGTCTAAGTACGAGGCTGACATGCGGTCTGTTCTTCGCGTGAGTGTTCCTAAAATGCGTGAATTTATTGAAGAAAGTGATTCAACTTCATATAGAATAGGCATAGATTGTGACAGAAACGAACATGGAATATTTTCTCAACATGCTCAAGAAAGTGAAATGGGAAGGAAAGATCAAGAAGAACAAGAACAATTGCCTCTGCATAAACAGTATAAAGAAAGTGAAAAAGTAAAAAAAATGGAAGAAATGATGCAGACAATATCCTTTCAACATGTTCAAGAAAAGGCAAATGAAAGAATACGGAAAGAAATAGAAGTAGCTATGCAGAATCAAAATGATCAAGAAAAAGATAGGCGTAGAAGAAAATTGCATGAACTGAAGCAAACTGTACATCAAAATGATCAAGAAAAAGATAGGCTTACAAGAGAATTGCATGAACTGAAGCAAACTGTTAGAAGAGAATTGCATGAATGGGAGCAAACTGTACATCAAATTGATCAAAAAATGGATAGGCTTAAAGGAGAATTGCATGAATGGGAGCAAACTGTACATCAAAATGATCAAGAAATGGATAGGTTTAAAAGAGAATTGCATAAACTGAAGCAAACTATTAGAAGAGAATTGCATGAACGGTTGCAAACTGTACATCAAAATGATCAAGAAAAAACTAGGCTTACAAGAGAATTCCATGAACTGAAGCAAACTGTTAGAAGAGAATTGCATGAATGGATGCAAACTGAACATCAAAATGATCAAAAAATGGATAGGCTTAAAAGAGAATTGCATGAATGGAAGCAAACTGCACATCAAAATGATCAAGAAATGGATAGGCTTAAAAGAGAATTGCATGAACTGAAACCAACTGTACATCAAAATGAATTGTTTCGGAAGGCGGAAATTAAAATTGCATCTTCTGATGAAGAAAGCAAGGAATAACTGAAGCAAGAAAATGAAAGTTGAAACTACTGAATTATCAAATTGAGGCAAGTTTCGTATATTTTCAACTTAAATACTTTTGATAACTTCGTAAGAACTTTTAATAAATGACTTTTTAAGTATAATGCTTTTAAAATTGGTTTATTTAGTTTTATCTTCTGAAGGAGCATTTTATTTATTGTATTATAATTGTAAAAACTTGTACGTATTTTTAAGATAATTTCTGATTTAATAACGAAATTTTACAAATTTTGTGTTTAAACAATATTTTTTAAATGTGAACAATTGCTTACTAATTGTTTGTTACAGTTCATGCTTTCTTGTATTTTGAATATTTTGACAAATACATATTAACAATAATTTTTCCCCTGATATATTCTAATATTTTTACATACATTGAATATGTTTAATTTTTTCTTAAATTCTTAATTTAGATTTTTCCTAATATTTTTTATACAAACCTTGATTAAATGTCACGGTATTTAAGGTATGACATTGTTTATATAAAGTGTTAAATTTTTACACATGAATTGTATTTTAGCACAATCATCAAAATTTAAAGTTGCATAATCTGAAGTACTTCAATATGAATTTTAATATGATTTTTACATTTAGAATGTTAAACTTATGTCAGATTTATTCTTAATGCAAATGAAAGTTTTTTTAAGAAAATAGTTCAAAATATAAAATATTTAAGAAATGAGTACTTTTGATTTATTTCTTTTGGAATTATTTAATTTTTACTTGTGAAATATTTGAAAGTGCATTAAAAAATTTTCAGGTTGAGTCTCAGTATGAAATTTATGGATTACCTTTTAAAACATTGTGATATAAAAGCAATGTGGGTTCGAAAATTCGCTCTTATAAATAATTGCAATATTTGATGTAGTTTCAAGTTTATTAGAAAATGTGCAACAGTTAGAAAGAAAAAAATTGAATTGTTTTATTTACTGATGAGGAAAATCTAGCATTGAATATAGAATTTTAGGTTTATCTAAGTCTAATTTAAAGTTGAGAAACTTTCTAAAAATTCAGTACTACTGTATACTAAATGTGCATGACATTTGAAGTGACTGTTTTTTCAATGTAAAGTAATGCATGAAATTGACTTAGTAATATTCAGGTTTCAATTTGAGTTTTACGAGGATGTTAATTACCTTAATTACAGTAGTAGCACAACTATTGTCCTTTTTTGAATTCAATGAAATGAACTGCAAGTTCAGAAGTTACAGAAATTTCATGCTTTGAAATAATTAAAATGATTTATCTTATTTTGATTTACACATGGAACAACAAAAAAATTAATTCTGTACCTTAAATATTTTATTAATTTCAGTGTAAAAATTTATTGTAAATGCACCTTCACTTTTTATCGCAATGTCAGGTACAAAAATTATAATTATTGAAAGAAATATCTTAAAAAATCCTAACTACAACTGTTTATTCTGTCCACTTTGTGTTGATCTAATTCTATTTAGCATTAAAATTAATATTAGCCTCCATTTGTCCATGTATTTATCTCAGGTGGGAATGGTAATTTAATTATAAAATGGTTTGCCATATAAATAAAAACTTTAATAAATTTTGAACTTTTTATTCTAAGTTTTGTTTTAGCTGAATTATGGTAAAATTGTAAGAAGTAATTAATACCTCACTTGTTTAGAAAAAGGTTTCACACGCGTTAATCGGTTTAAATCTAAAATTGCACCTTTAAATATTGAATGCCTTTTAACGTCACGGCTATTAGACCTATCAGTTTGATTTCAGTGTTTCTCGATCTATCGTGAAAAAAATTTAACTGCTCTTTTGAATGTCTTATAACGTCACGGCTATTAGACCTATCAGTTTGATTTCAATGTTTTTCGATCTATCGTGAAAAAAATTTAACTGCTCTTTTGATTACATAGTAAGATTCAAGCTTTTCCCAATTTCAATCCCTCTCTTCCTCTGAAAATGTAATATGAAGAATTTATATAACTTAAATGGATTGTTTAAAATAGGGAATCAATATTGGCTCAAAAGCCTATTTTCATATTTAACTATTTAAGAACTGACCTGCTGAGGGATTTTATAATTGCGAGCAAAAAGTATTCAATTTGCTTAAAAACGCTACTAAGTGAAATACGCAAAGAGCAAATTTAACATCTGTAAGACTAAATTTTTTACCACTAATCAAACTGAACTATTGATACAATATATTTCTGATTTTTGCTACGCTTCTTTATATTTCATGTTAAAAAATTCGATTTATGAAAGGTGTTTAATTCAGAAAAGTACATCTTTTTGTCTGATTCTGAAACTTAATGATTAGCACTAATATATTTTAAGATCAATATCGACTTTTATTATAAGAAAATTCGATCATTGGAACAAAAACTATTCATAGTAAAATAGTAAATTTTTTTGCTCATCCAATACGAAAATAGAATAAATTAACTTTAGGTTTAAAAATAGGGTAAGTAAATACATCAAATAATATACAGAAAATTTCGACTAATATTTCTACGATATGACGAATTTTTTTTAAAATAATGAGCATTTTACATTACGCGCATAAAAATGCAGGTTTGTCTGCTTTAATTCTAAAAGCAATTTATAAAACCTTTTTAAATTGTACTACAGGTAACCCAAATTACGAGAGATCATCTCGAGAAGGTATTGCATTCAGGGTTATGACGGAAATTGAACCCACCATCTCTATGAATCAGAATATTTAGTTAAAGGAATATATCCTGTCCACACAGAGGTTTTTAGTTGTTATAATCAATAGTTAAGCCTTGCATGTTATTATATTGGAAGCCGGGAAACTTTTCAAGGATTCCCGTTCATGAACCTTGAAAGAAAAGGTAACATAGATTTTAAAAAAAAACGGACTTATTGTCTGAGAGGTTTCAGAGAATTAATTTCCCCAATTCCTGGTTTTTAGTAGATCAGTCACATGGATTTCAAAATCTAACGGTAGTTTTACAGTCAAACTCTTGTAATCTCTGATGCGGATACGAAATTGTCAACTTGTTTGACTATCAAGCCTAATCCTACATTATGAAATCAACTTCGATACAGAGACATAGTATAGAGGATAAACTCGAGACAAAATAGCTCAAAAAAGAAATGCGCAATTGCTACACTTCTGGGCTTTTCGCTTTATCCCACTGGCTTATTCGACACTTCTGGGCTTATTCGCTTCTACCTACCATCACGACAATTTTTGAGACATTTTCCCATTCTTATCATGGTAATTAAAGACTCGTATTGCTTAATTTATTCATTCGAAATATAAGTAAATAATATTTGAGCTGAATGTATATTTTCAAAATTGTGAGTTCTCTAAAAATACCAAAATAGGTTCCACTTTTTGCAATGAAAGTAAATGATGAACATTTACTTTTTATAAGCATTACTAGATGGTGACTATAGTTAACATACAGTAATAAGTATATTTATTTTATTTACGTCGCACTAGAGCTGCACAATGGGCTATTGCCGCCGGTCTGGGGAAACATCTCTGAGGATGGTCTGAAGACATGCCATCACAATTTTGATCCTCTGCAGAGGGGAGGGCTCCTCCGCTTTGGTAGCTCAATGAGTGCACGTGCAGCCGAGCACTTCACGGTAGCACAGTAGAACGAGGACCGATACCGTTCACCCTCGGTCCCTACGTAGCTGATCAAATTGGTCACCCACCCGCTTTCCGACCTCAGCCAGTGATGCTTGACTTCGGTGTTCTCCTGAGAATCGTATCTTTACAATCAGTTCCGCAGTGGACTGATCTTTAAGACACGGTTCCCAGCAGATCACCGAAGTCGAGCATCACTGGCTACGGTCAGTGTGCGGGTGGGTGACCACTTGAATCAGTCTGCGTAGGGGCCGAGGGTGTGCGGAATTGGTTCTCGTTAAACTGTTCTACCGTAAAGTGCTCGACTTCGCGTGCAGATCGTCGGGCTACCGAAGCGGGGGTGCCATCCCATCTGCAGATGATCAAAATTGTGTGATGGCATGTCTTCGGATCATCCTCAGGGGTGTTTCCCAGACCGCCACCAATAACCCATCGTGCAGCTCTAGTGCGACGTAAATTAACTACAGCAACAACGACAATCTTTACTGTCAGCCCACTGCGGGACAACTTATAATCATATAACAGTTACTATAGTTGAAAGTTGCATGAGTTTTTAACTCATAAAAATCTAAGATATCAATTTACTATACTATAAACATTTCCTTTTTTATATAGTGGGCTTCCTTTCCTCCCTTATTCCAAGGAAAAAGGTAAATAATGACTTCTGAGTAGCATAAAAAGTTATTTTTAATCATTTTATTCTTAAGGAATAATGAAAAACTTTTATTTTCGTCATTGTCATTAGATAGCATCATCATTAGTAGAAAGCAAGTTCGTTTTAAATTTTATATACGTTTTTAAAAGTGAAATGGTGCCTCTTATTTCTCCTCTTTCCTTTGACCAACGCACACAGTTCCAAACTGACGGTGAAATTGATTATAAATTTAAACTCTATGTTTATATATGTTATTTTCTTTGAAATAGGGTCATGGTATCCCAGTGGTTAGAGATTCAAAATCCAGCCCAGAAGTACCGGCGTTCGATCTTTGATTCTGCGAAGACCCACCAAGTACTTAATATATACGTGCTCGTAAAATTTGTGTAAACGAATGTCCTGTGGTCGTTTACTGAGCAGTACCATGGGTACAGGAATATGGGGAAAATTTCCTTCCCCTTCAGATCTATGTCTGAATTGAGGAGGAGGCCTCACAAATTGTAATAGCATGTCTTCATATCATCCTTTTTGATATTTCCCAAAACGTCGCCAATAGATCATTGCGCAGCTCTAGTGCGACGCAAATAAACTAAGACTACAATTAGGTTATTTACTAGTTTTAGGAAATAAATCTAAGGTCTTCTTTGCTGTCGTTCTTCTTAATGCAACAAATATGCATACGCAGTGCGTTAGTCTTTATTAGTTCACGCATAATTTTGATTAATTAAATAAGAATTAGCGAAGTCTCTTGGTCTAAGTTTTTTTGTCAATCAGCCAAATGGATTTTTAAATTTAATTATAGTTTTACGCTTAAGCAATTGCAATCTCTAAAATTCTTCTACGACATAAGGGTATGAGATTAGAAAGATTTCACAAATTTACATTAGTACTATACGTTCCTGTACGTAAAGTTTCAAGTAATTACACACTCTACAGTGATAAAATGTTAAACTTACGTAAATTATGTAAATTCTCTGATCGAATGGTTTATAAGTCAATGTAAAATTGAAGAACGGATCACACAAATGCAGAATGACATCACAAATAGAGAAAAAAGAACAAAATAAATAAATTTTAAAAAATCCGATGCGTACTATACATAACTCAAATTCTGATAATGATCGAACCTTCAAATCTTCCTGACTCAAATAAGATTTACAAATCACTTTAATCATGGCTAAGCATATAGATCTTTCTTAAAGGTTACCTAAGATCCATTTAAGGAACGCCAAACTTTTTAACATTGGTAACTCAACGATGATATCTGGTGAGCTATTACCCCTCTCCAACTTTCTTCCAGCACCAACCAGATGATTCTCAAACCAAATGAATTTACGTACACCTCGAACGTCAGTAGTTGAAGTCGTTGGATCAAACTCACAAATTTCGAGCCCTCCACCAGCTGCGTGAAAAGCACCTAACTGACTGTGGTT